GATCTGAATATATGGATGACATGATTATGTTGAAAATATTTGCAGCATAGTCAATTCATTTTAAATCATCACTCCAATAACATTGTGTCCAATCAATTTGATTTGGAATAAAAATGAGAATTCGTCCTTAAATAAAGGATTTTTATTTATTCATAAATACAATGAAAAATTCACCATCACCTTCATCACATAAATAATTCATATTACTAATGTTATGCAAGTAATGTTTCAAATGATCAAAATAATTAATCATTTACATTAATTTATTTATTGAGTATTACAACAATCTGTCACTTGGAAATTAGTTGTAGTGAGGTAGGATAGCATTCACACTATATGTACTAAAAATACAAAATAAATAGAAGCAAAATAATAATAAAAAAGTATATACAATAAATAAAATAAAATAACCTAAAAATAAGAAAATTAAAACTAAAAAAAACATATGCATACCTATATACACTATTTACAATCAGGCGAGGGAACTCCGAGGAAGGCTTGTCCCTCTAAATATGGAGGGAAAAGCTGGACTCCAGGAGAACCCTGCGCTACTCTCTCAACATGGTACTAAGCCAGTGGAGATTGATCGAGAGCACTTTAGCCACATACACCCATGTCTTGAGTGGAAAATCTGGCTACTGCCAGAACTCCAATATATACAATCTACAAAAGATTGCGAGGCCACTGCCGTTTCAACCTTCTTGGAAGATTATAGGGATGGGTGGTGCTTGATAGAGATTGTGTGAGAGGATTTGGATGATACTTAAAGCCACTAGCGGATCCAGGATTTAATTTTGGGGGAGGTTTCAGCCCGAAGGATTTTTCATATATATAACCATAATTAATTTTTTTTTAAAAAGAAAGAAACTAACTCTTAGTGATTCTTGAAGTCCTATTAAATGTACTTATACGAACAATAATAGTTTAAGAGATAGTTTTTAATATATTTTTCTATAAAAGTAGGTTATATTCGACCATTTTGGAGTGGGGAGGGAGAGGGCTTCAGCCCGAAAGCCCCCTTCCACCGTAGATCCGTCTGTGGGTAAGGCAGTGGATCAGCTGATGCGAAGGTTGTGTTCTAAACTCGTCTCTTAGTTTTTGCAGATTTTTCAGCGGAATCTCTCTGATTATTCACTTAATACAGTTCAAATTAATCATTAATTAATTTTTACACATCCATTATATTAAAACTGGTCAAATTTTAACAACCATTACATCCTATAGTAAAATAAATCCAATGCAATAGTATGAGCAGTCAATACGATTTATTTTTCCTAATTACATAGTTTTGACTCATCGAACTTGGAAAGGAAAAGTCAATAAAAATTAGAGTTGCAGTCTAGAAAAGCAATCTAGAATAAGGGATGAATTTAAAACAGTCGAAAGTAAGGTTTGAATATTAGAATCAATCAAATAGAACTATTATCTCTCAAATCAAATATTAATTATTTCAACAAATAAATAATAGTAGTTGGGCGAATAGTAGACATAGCGATAAAAAACTAAATTAAAATTAGCTTTTAATTGCATTTTAAAAGGTTTAGCCAATGCTTTCGTTCATTGAGAAGATAACATTGTTCCCAGGAATACCCCAAGGGCAGTGTTGCGCGTAATTAACTATTTTTTGTATTGAACAACCCTGTCAATTTAAAATTATTTGTTATTAGTTTTCCACAACTACACAATCAACTAAATTAGTCATTAGTTGGCGGTAATATGTATTTTTTTTAACTAAAGGAGTTAAAGTTTATGGCAACAATTTTAGAAAAAAATAATAGCGTCTAGGGTTGTTGCGATATCGGGAAAGTCCCGGTATTTCTAATAGATATCGATATTGGAATTTGATATCGATATCGATATAATCGATATCAAATTCAAATATCGATATATCCAATAACGAATGATATCGATATCAAAATATTATTTTTTTGAGATAATTACCAAATATATCATCGTTCTATTGCAAAAAGCAATTAAGTGAATTTTAATAACCTTAAATAACTTTGGTGAATTTTTCCTTTGCGAGATCAGAATATTATATTTATTTTGTTACTAGAAAGAGAGAGAAATACTTTATTGAAAGTAATGCTGCCCTACAACATAGGGTTGCTTTATACACAGCATTGATCAGTATCAATCCATAAGGACATAGCACTTACATTATATTATTCCGTTATTATATAAACATCTATTTTTTTTCTCTCTTTTCATAACACTAGTCATATACAATATCACTAATATACCACATAAACAATTATCATTATGTAACACATATATTTTCTGAAAAAAAAAATATATTCGAGTGCTAGAAATACTATAGACTAAATCGCACACATATATATGAACCCAATTCCGTGAATATAGATAAAAAGGTAGGACAAAGCTAAAAATTAAAATTGAATAAATAAATAAATATGACAAAAGACATCCTAAATTAACATTCAATTAATATAAAAGTGATAGTGGATGATCTCCAGGGAGTTCAGAATAATAGTCCGTGGTACAGACCCCTTTTTGTCAAATTATTAACATCCACCTGAAACTTCGTAAATAGCTTCATCTCATCGTAACCTACAAATATTTTATTTACGAAAATTATCGGAATTGGGGTGTTTTCGATCTGGAGATCGTCAAACATTGTTTATTTAATTAGGTACTAAAAACTGGTAAATACCAATTTTCTTTCCCCTTTAATCGTAAGATAATTTGTGCGAAAACTCGAGGAAAAAGGTGACCTTAAAAAATATTGTGCCGTTTGGCGTGACCTACACCCCCAAAATAACTAGGTTGTGTAGGCCAAACGGACTAATATTTTTTAGGCCACTTTTTTTTCTTGATTTTGTGATCAAATTGTTTTACTACTCAAGTGGAAAGCAAATGGCTATATACGAGTTTTCAGTACCTAATTAAATAGACGAAGTTTGCCGATCTCCAGATTGAAAACGCCCCAATTCCAAGAGTTTTCGTAAATAAAATAGTTATAGGTTAAGATGAGATTAAGCTATTCACGAAGTTTCAGGCGGATGTTAATAATTTGATAAAAAGGGGTCTGTACTACGAAATATAATATTCTTGGCCAATATCGCAAGCTCCCTAACATCAACACCTAGTTCCTGGAGGAAGCTCCTTGGTATATCAAAATGTTTGTGCCATTTTATTATACTTATAAGGTTTTTGTCTATAAATAAGTTCAAAACTCACAAAAAATGTTTTTAAAAGTTCTGCTTAATAAATAATGAACTTGGTGACCTTGTAAAGTCGATTATACGAGCTGTTTTCTTTTAAATTATCTTAACTTCATTTCATAATACATGGTGCTATTAAGGGTTTGTTCTTGAATTGTTTATACAATATTAGTATATGTTAATGCGCTCATTTTATGTTTTTTTAAATATTACATTGGTTTCATTTTATAATGTGATTGGAAAATAAATAAATCGAAATCCGATATTGGCATTTTTCTTTCAATATTACGGTAATATCGAATTCTTTTTTTTGATACGATATTGTGGAAAATCGAAAGGAAAATATCGATATAGATAATATCACAACATCCCTAGTTATGTCAGAAACTAAGAACTATTAGTTTAGTTGTAGTATATCAAATAATAACTGACAATTTATTTTGTCTCCGGTTCTAGGCCTTTTCATTTAGCCAAAGTGTCGATTAATGCATTACTTATCTAATTAAATGCAAATTTCAGATGATTATGTCTATGAATTACCATTTAGTCCGCTGTTCATACATTTTTCATGCATTATTTGTATTTTGATAATGTGATCCATAAATTCGTTTCCGGAGGCGAATTTTGTTGGAAAAACTATTCATTTTAAGATCGCACAATCCCGTGTAGATCAATCTACAATCAATATCCTACAATACTGATTCTGCATCAATATTCAACGATACTGAGATTCATTGTTTGTTATGGGATGTGTAGTTTTTCTAAATACGATGGATTCCATTTTCGCCCAACAGCGTGTCGATTTATTTTAACTTTTCTTATTTCTTCGATATTGAGGCACATTACTGGGTTTTCATGGGCAAATAAAATAAACAGATACATGGGCGTGTAATCGTAATATTTTCAAGAGCCAATAAAATAATGGACCTAGATATCGAATAAATCCTTAAAAAATTAAGTTTACAGCCAACTTTGTGGTTATGAGTTTTTGAAACTAAATTAAACTGTTAAACTTTACACACATACCAGACTGAAACGACAAGAAACCGCTAGACGTTTCTGATTATTTCAGCACTTACTAGACAAATGCTCTAAAATTCCAATTAATTACAAAACTCATATAAATGACAATAATAAGGCCTATTTGGACTTACAGAATTGAGCTATAGGGCTCCACTAAACCATCAAATTCCTCTCCTATCCAATCCTTACAATCCAAAATCCTTCGTAAAATCCTTAATGCTCCTTACTTTGTTACTAGTAAAGCCATCCATAACCTTAATGTTTCTTATGTTTCATATATGGCCTAATCTAGATACCTATTCTTCCATAATAAACTTCAGAATCATCCCAATCATCTCGTTTCTAACCTTGCTTCCTCTTCAATACCTGATAAACCTCCGAAAAGTCTGAAAAGGAGATGGCCCCGTGATCTCCTAATGTATACATATCATTAGAGTGCTACCATTGGGTAGTTTCTCAACAAGTGTTTTCACGTCATTATAACCATATGTTCAAATTTACTAAATGTATTTTTTTTATACAGTTGTAAATATCATTGAGAAATAAAAAAAAATTACAAGAGATAACTAAAAGTAAATAAATAGTTTTTAGTTGATGAGCAAACTATTTTATTTAACTAAGAGTTATAGTGATCCGTTTTACTTGCAACTAATTTAATTGAAAAAAATAGTACAAAATTCCATTAATAATTAAATTGTTGGTTGTAAGATAACATTTTTTTGTCCATCAAAGTTGATTTTAGCTATACAAAAAAATATAAACAAATGGTTTGGGGAATTGGAAAACACTTACTTTTATAAAGTCGAATGTTTTGGTCAGCATTACAATACAGCTCGCCTTTTCTTGCCATATCATTCTCCAGAATTCATTTACCGTATTCTCCGTTGGCCCCTGGGTGACTATGTAAGCGTTTGGGGTCAAGAGACTCTGAATAAAACAAAGATAAAATAATCAAAGATCAAATTATTTTTAAGATGATTAAGTCTAAAAGTTACTTTAAAGATAGTTCTTCAATATCTGGCTTATGGAAGATGAAAAAAAAAATAAAATAAAAAAAGAAAGCTGTTGGCAATAATAATGAATTAAGATTTCATCATTACGCTAAGATAAGTATAAAATTGCTGTTTTAAGATTTTTTTTTTAACTGATATATTTCTATATTGAATAATATTAAATTATGTCATTAAGACGATTAGTAAATAGTGATACAGGGGTTCATTCACACCATATGTACAATAAATAAAAATAAATTAAATAGAACAACAGCAAAATAACAATAATAAAAATAAATACATACAAGCCAAATGAAACTTAAACTAATCAAAACAACAATTTAATACAATATTTATATAAAAATCATTCACTCGGGAGAACTTCAAGCCAAGCCTTTCCCCCAACTCGTGAGAGGAAAAGCATGACTCTAGGATATCCCAGCGGTTCTCGGTCAGCCGCATCATTGACAACCATGCACGTACCTTTTATGATAGATACAAGTATTGAAATATATATATATATATATATATATATATATATATATATATATATATATATATATATATATATATATATACATATATACATAAATGTTTAATATAAAAATGAAAAGATGCCTGATTTGTTTCTTTAAATATAAGTTATAAATTTTCTCATTATACTAGAGGCCGGAATTCGGTGTGGTAACGGCATATAAAGTCGTCATTCTTGGATTGGGGCTTGATGTTACAGATTTAAGACAATTTAATTTTATTTTAAACCGCCCATTATGAGTAAACTCAAAGCTCCATGGCAAAAAGATTTGAAAATGTCATATTAAATAATAAAATTAAGATAGAAAAATGGTAGATTGATGGTTGACTATAGTGAATAACTGAAGAGAATTTGTTTGGGATGTTCAGTAAAAAATATAAGATAACATTTTTTTTAAATCTACTGTCCGGCCCAATACCGATTCCAAGGGTTGGTCATCCCTATTAGTAACTATAAATCCAATACAGAAACATGTAATAAAATAAATATTTTATTACATACCTATGTATACGTATTAAAGGAACTTTGGTTCAACAATTTAATTTCACGCAAATAAATTCCCTTAGAGTGTTTATCCCAACATCATGCAATAAAAACATAAAAGAAAAAAAAAGTACAATTTAGTTCGAAAAGGCCATAATGTGTAATAAAAAAAATCAATATATTATTCTACAGACCGTGATAGATGATGCAGTTTGAAGGTTTTACGAGCAATTCAATAAAATGTGCTAAAGACAGTCCAAATAAAATGTTCCATAGTGTTGCTAAATAAATGATCTGTGACTATTTTAGTTTATTATTAAGAAAATTAAAATAAAAATAATTATAAAGCGATATATGGAATATAAAGGAAATAAAAATTGACTTATATTCTAAAGATAAAGTATATAGTATATGACTATAGAACAAATAATAATTTAAGACAGAATGTAATTTGTGATATCAAGCTTACGTTATAAAGTTTTATTTGGATAAAGTTAGAATCGAAACCCCTTCCATTGTCTCTGTGGAAACACCTCCTAAAAACATTTCTCTTCATCTACGTAACTTGTATTCCACGCGTTTAGACCTTAATTAATGATTAATCCCCATACCCGCCTTTACTCTCCTCCGTTTTTACATACCGAAATACAAATGTGGTTATTTTGTGAAACAGTTAGCTGTATGTATAAAGTATGCGTAACAGAAATTTTTTTTTTTCAAAAACTTTATTAGAAAATAAAATGTATATCTACAGAGAGTAAAACAAAAAAGAAATGACTCAAAATGTCCTCCTTTTGCCTTGACACAAGCATTTAACCTTAATAGCTCATAGCAGCACGCAGTACTTCTTGAGGAAAGCGCTCAACTGCTCGGGCCAGAGACTGTTTGAGGCTCTTCAAGTTAGGGTGTGTGGCATTCCATCCTCTCCAGTTCGGATCAAAGCCGATAATCTAGTGGGTTGAGATCAGAGCTTCCTGAGGGCCAATTGGAATGTTCTTTTGCATCCACTGCCGAGTTGACCTGGCATTGTGAGCTGGAACGGAATCATACTGGAAAACCCGATGACTTCCAGCAAACAGTATATCATTTAGAGGCTTGACGACGGGTTTCAAAATATCGTCCTCATAGTTTTTAGCTGCTGTGTTATCTCCTTTTTCACAAAAATGGAGCTTTGTGGTGCCATCAAAGCAAACTCCCCACCAAACCATCACTAAGGAAGGGTGATGGCCTCTTTCCACTCTTCCTGGGCTTCTTTAGAGCTGTGTGCTTACACACGATCATTTTGCGATTAAATTTTTCTTCAATTATAAAAATTTTCTTATCGCTAAAGAAAATCTTTCGATGAAGACCATTGGTGTAAGGAGCACAATGTATCTATCTACTTTATTTTTTTTTAGGGAAGTGGTTAGCCTTTGTACTGTCATTCTTCGAAATGCATCCATCCTAAGGTAACCTTTTATTATGTGAGACATTAATCTGACAGAGATTCCCATTTCCCGAGACATGATTTGTTGTTATCGTATGGGATTTCTACTGATTCGAGCAGCCACTGTTCCCACTGCATTTACCGTTCTCACAGTACGGGGACGACCTAGGTCTATCACATAAAGATAGGGTCTCATTATATCTATTTATAGTGCGATACACGAACATATGGCTGATACCCAAAGGTTTCAAAGTGTTGAAAATCTCTGACCTTCATTTTCCAGCTTTGTGTAAGGCGATCACAAACTAATTGGCATTATTATCCGGACATGTTAAAAAAATAACCTGATAGAGGTAAGGATTATCTAAATAATACCCAAGGATGTAAACAAAGTTCAACTTTTATAACAGCATTCATGGTAGAACTAGGTATATATATACACATTAAAATTTCTGTTAATATCAAGACAGTGGTGTGAAAAAGTCAACTTTTTATAAAAATCAGTTTCAATCTAAAAGTGTTTTTATATTTTTAAATGTAAAAAAAAAATGAACGTTGCAGACATTGTAGATGTAATATATATATATATATATATATATATATATATATATATGTTTAATTTTTTTTAAATATATATTTTTGTTGAATAATAATACAATCTACCACTTTTAGGGTGCAATAAGTATTAAGGCTAATAGTGTCAATTCATACAGTTATAATTAAATTAGCATTATTTTCGGTATACAACAGGGCAAGGAACCAATCCGTTGTGTTGACGTTTTTATTCTCGGAATATGAATGAAAATGTGTTTATTATACTTTTAAAATATTATAGAAAGTAAAATATATATATACAAGCAACAACGCATAGAAAATGAAAAATTCCGTCTGTCGAGGTCTGTGTGTAATTAATAATAAATATTCATTACATTTATAACTAAAATAAGTGAGTAATAATATATCTACAGTATTATTATAATTCTCGTAATAATTCTAACCTTATTCTTTAAATTTCACTACTTTATTATCGTTTTAAATCTATACTCTTTACTACCAACGTCTAGAGCTGCTATATAAACACTAGAGCAGAGATGGGCAAATGATAGTCTGAGTACCGAGTACCGCGTATTTTACTCTAACTGAATCACTATTGGAAATTCAATCACTACTTCAGTTAAACACCAACTGAAGTAGTAATTAAATTCTTTGGTACCCAAAAAAAATGCAGTTGAATAAAATACTTGATACTCTGTATTCAGATTGGTATTTGCACAACTCTTCCCTAGAAATCTGAGTAAATCTGCGGGAATTGTTCTAATATTGGAAATATTCGTTTTTTTTTTTGCAAATTTATTTCTGTTTTCTATTTATTGTTTCAGAAAACGGCAAAATATTTGATCGATATAAAATTATTATGTTGCGTCGTCGAGGAATTACAATCAGGGGAATTAAAAAAGAAATAGAAGCATCTATTTCTGGAATTCATTAGATCATCATAACATTTTTAAAAAAATCAAGCCAACTGCAAACTTGATTGCTGGTGAACAAAATTCGTGTCTTCACAACCGCTAAAAATCTAACAGATTAAAAAAAAATTGTTTTTTCGGAGACTTTTCCCACCACTATATAAATATAAGTAAATATTATAATTCTTTAAATTATGTTCTAAAAAATTTGGAAATATTTTTTAATTTTTACAATTTAAAAGAAAAGATGTTCGTTCTATTACTCTATTATACTTTTTAACATGTTTTTTTTTTTTTACTATATTTCATAATTAGATCTGATTAGCATTGCATTTTGAAATAAAATGTCCCTACAATTTAACTCATCAACATAAATTTCATTCTTATTTGGCTTATAGAGTACTTGATTTATTAGTTCATAGTTTCACCTATTTTTAATCATGGAGAAAATAATTTTTTAAAAAATGTCAAAACTATAAATAAATACATGTTTTGCCGTTACCCCACATTGCGAACCCTCGTTTTTATCAACTATTAAGCCATTTTCGGTCAAACTTTTGTAGATAAGAAGTCAAGTCAAAATTGAGTATTTACTAGAATAAATTTTCATTAGAGTTCAATTCATAATAAATCAAAATAATCAAAACCGACTATTTTTTTATTTATAGTATTGCTAAATAAATTATCTGTATTTTTAATTTAGTTTATATTTCGTACAAAATCCTATTTAAAAAATATTAATGTGTAAATTTTATCATTGTTGATTTATTTACATGCACTCAGTATAATATACATGTTTATGATTATGTTTTATTTTTTATTTATTAATTCAATATATAACATTCTGTCACAGGGACAATAATTATAGTGAGCTAAGAACACATTCACACCATGTATACAGAAAACATAAAATAAACACAAGCAAATAACAATAAAAAATTATATACAATAAATACAAGTAAAATTACTTAAGGATAAGTATATAAAAAAAAACAGACAAATATAATACAATATATAATTATGTGATAATAATAAGTCATATTTAATTAAATTGTACCATACTTACGTCTACATGTGAAGCATTTATGTAATCAGAATCCGGAACTCCTTCAATGGAATCCAAGACAACTCTGTTGTAATCATCTGGAACAGAAAACAGTTTATTTGTAATGATTGAATTTTAATAATTAATACGTACATACATAGATATATTATAAAAATGACATACTTTATATTTAGTTTTTTTTAGATTTTCTATAATTATTTTCCCCTTAATACAAAATCAAATATATTTATATTTGAAAGTTGATATATATATATATATATATATATATATATATATATATAAATTTAATATATATATATTTATCATAAGTTATTTATGTGTTAGTAATTTGCCAATAACCTCAGTGGATGACGAACAGTAGGAAATAGACCAACACATAACAAAGGCAAACAAAGATACTGAAATCCAGACAAATCTCAAATTAACTACGGTCAATGCTATGATAAAGCCAGTTCTGATATGCAGCTGCGAAACCTGGACCCTAATGAGCACCCTATAAAGAAGTATTGAAATATTTAAGAGAAAAATCCTCTGGGATTAGAGTACTACCACATGGAGAAGAAAGACCAAGACACAGCTTACACAAACATGTCCGGTAATATCCCATGATATGAAGGCACGGAGGTTAAGATGGGTATGTAGCTCGTAGCAATCTATCTGGAAGCCTCGAGGTAACAATGAATGCATTCAAAGAAGGCCAAAAAGCAGATGGGTAGATAGAATCTACAAAGATGCAATAGAGCCGAGTGCAGATAACTGGAAAAAGTAGCGCAAGACAGGCAAAGATAGAGGAAACAGGCTTGTTAAGGCAGCAAAAGATCAACAAGTTCTGTAATGGTAACAGAAAAAAAAAAAAGAAAAATATATATAACGTTATATTAATATCTATAATAAATAATTCATTATCATATTTTATATATATCCGATATTGAACAATTCAATCATTTTTTTAAATTTTATATTGGTTAGTTCAGATCTTTTCCTGAAATTAAATTTTTCCATACACTTAAACTTCAAAAAGCTTACCGTTTACTTACATAAGGTATCTTGATTGATAACTTTATTATGTAAATTAAATAATAATATATATATTTTTAAACTGTAGCAATACAATCCATGAAGGGTCATGGATTCAGTACTATGTTGGGAAGTAATGTTTTTGGTCAACTGTTGTGCAAGGGTATAATTTGATAGAAATCTAGCCCAACCGCCAGGATTTCCTCCTTAATCAAGTAATTAATTAAGAGTACCCACTTTATAGAGGTGTTGACACATGAGTTGAGCAGGTGTGACTCCTAGGGTCGATCGACGGCCGATGAACCAGGAGAAATAATTTATCTGTCATGGCCCGGATTCGAACCCGCGACCTTGATCTCTGGAACTCAGTGGCAAACTAACTGAGCTACCCCGCTCCTACATAATAATATATAAAAATCTACTTTTATCGGTTTTTGGTCACACTTTTGTTTATTACATATATTCGTTTCTTATTGTCTTAAAAATAAATAAATAATTAAAAAAAAAACATTATAGAAATAATTTTATACACTCGTTAATGTGTTTTTTGAAATGTATTTGGAGCTCTGTAGAAGCATATGAAGGTCGGGGTACCCCAGGGTCACTCCGAACAAAGCAATTTAGAAATAGATTTTTGTGCTTTATAATAAGATTAGAGTAACGTTTTTTTGGCACTCATTTCTGTGCTCTAGCCGCTAGATCGACCTAATTCTCATAATCAGTAAATTATCATTATTATATTTTTTTTTTTTTCTTAAATAAAAAAACCTGATGTATGTTTATTTATGAGTAATTTTAATTTATGGGAATGCTAAAGCATAAATCGACTACAAACTTTCACACTATTGAAGAAAAATTTTATGATATAATTGCTTAAGCTAATGAAATGTCATTACCATGCAAAGACATTCTCTCAGTTTTCTAGTGTTTTTTTTTTTTTAGTAATCTACGTTAAATGGTTATCAAACTTATTTATACTCATAAAAGATGACTTTAGCATTTCACAACGTATTTTATTTTTTTTTTATTTTTTTTTAAAGTAAGGTATACTAATGTGCTTTTCAAACATTTTCCAACAACTTCTACAACATCACCAAGTAAAAATACAAAGATAAAAGCTTGAAAAAAATATTTTTCACTGTTCTTTAAATATTATCAACTTCTCAGCTCATCGATAGTAAAATGTATTTTATAATTAGATTTAACTATCAAAAATATAATTATTAAATATTTTGTAAAACGTATTTATGGAGAATCGAAACTCTATTCAATTTAAAACTTGTGGATACGATGAGTTGACATTTTAAGCATGTCAGTGACTTTTTATGTAATCAAATGGAAATACCGTTGAAACCCGTTTGCTCGAAATAATGCGGTAAAGGCTACACAGGAAAGCAGGAAATTTCAGTTTATAGAAGCAATGATTTATCTGTTAATGACATTTATCAAAAAAACAAAACAAATTATACATTTACCTAAGTGAGAAATACGTAGTAAATAAAAACCTTTATTAGTGAATATGTGAATGTAAATAAATATAAAGTTTTAAATTTTATAAAAATTTTAATGCCTGTTTTCAGAAGAATTTCAATTAACCCGTTGACTCATTGTCACGAAAATAAATACGTCTCACTTATAGGAATTTAAAATAACTACAACTATTAACTTTAACTAATATAACGTAACTGTTATTTTTTATTTTTACAGTTGTTGTGCAGACGCCTGAATTTAATTTTGTATTTTTTTGAATTAATTATTTCCAGCTTTCTGCACTGATTATTTTTATCAGGGCCTGAAATGGGAAAAAAAATATTTTTAAAAAGTTTCGGTATCACTGGAATTTTTATTGTTGATAGTTTTTCAGATATTTTTTTAGAACTTGAACTTTTTCCCTTGCGATTTTTCCAAAAACTTTAATTTAAAAGTTCTGAAGATTTATCTTAAAAGTCTATCTAAAAAATGATTTTTATTCTTAGCAACTCAATAGAATCGGGGTGGTTCATTCAAGACAAATTATAACTCTAACCTAAGCCCAATTACTTTTTGTTTTTCATTTAACGGAACTGTTTTTAAGAGCTAAAATAAATACAAGTTAAAGTTTTATACCATTAATCTGGAACTTTATTACAGAAAAGTAATTTAGAACTTTAATTTTAAGAACTTTTTTCCTAAAATGTTTCACAGAAACTGTTAAAATGGAATTTAAAACTTTAAAAGTTTCAGTTTTTAATTTTATGTATGTATATATATATATATATATATAATTGATTTATATGTATATATATATATGTATATATACACATAAATAAAAAAATAAAGAATAAAATAAAAAAAAATTAAATGTTTTAATTTTATTATTATTAACATTAAACATTAAATATTACAAAGAAATTTAATTTGTTACTAAAAAAAGTATTATTCGAAAATAATTATTATTGTTATTTTTAAAAATAACTTATGATGAACTCCAATGGAAACAGGGATTTCACCTTCTCCTTTCCTATCGGCTTTGATTTTCACACATTTCTTCAAAATATGATGATATGACATCTGACTCAAATATATTTTAGAATGAACTAATAAATAACAAATAAATAAATTTTTAAATTGTATAAATAATATTTTTGAAAATGAAGTATCTAAAATATATATATATATACGTGTGGTACTTACATGGAATACATTTCATATTTTGGTTCTTTTCTTTGTTGGCTGTTTTTGAGGCGTGGCGACATGAATGCGTTTCTACTTTAATTGCCGTCTGAAATAAATAAATAATTTAATTAATAAGTTATTGTATGATGCAACATTCAAGGGTTAACTTCGGAAATAAGAGACTCACCATAATAAGCATCAAGCATTTATCACATCCTAGTTCCAAAGTATACAAACATAACAAGTTGGTTTTATATGAGGTGTAGAATTAATTTTTTTTTCATCTTTAAATTGTTATCAATTTTTTATATAAATGTATTATATAATATATAATTTATAATAATATATAATGTATAATATAGTAGGGTGTATAAAAAAAAATGACCGGTTTTCAACCAGATATTTATATTATTATTTCTTTGATATAAAATACAATTAATACTCAAAGTATAGTCCATTGTTATCTACCGCCATTAGCCATCTGCTAGCCAATTGCTCGATCGCACGCTGATACCATTGTTTGGGATGGATGTCAAAGAACTCTTGGACCGCAATTTGAACTTCCGCAAAATTATCAAATTTCTTTGAAGAAAATGGGCCATGGATCTAAATAAGTAGTAATCCGATGGAGCGAGGTCTGGACTATATGGTGGATGAGGCAGGAGTTTTTCAGGCAACGGTTTTTCACAAATTTTCAACTTCTAAGAGGTCGTAAAGAGAGATGGCCTATACTGCATTTAGCAGACTCTAAACTAGAAAAAAATAGAAGAATAAACACCAACCGTGTAGAAATGTTGAGAATCACACGTACTTTCATTATCAATAACCAGCCATTGGGAAGCTAAATAAGTGACCTACATTATAAACGTTGGTACTCAGTGATCGCGGAATTTGATGCTCTACAACTTTTATTCTATGTTTTTTTTTCTCTTACAGAACTCATTTCCAAGATGCAGAGTTATTTATAGTAATTTGCCTTAGTTTTTAATATATTTAGTAAGCGTTCGTCGATCGTTTTTTTCGACCATACCGCTTTTCCAAATTATTATGTTTAGATACTCTTTCGACGGTAACGTGGCATTGTATTGAAAACAAACAGAGTACAGAGTAAGCTGAAATCAGTTGCACGAAATGGAGACAATTGGTGAATGCTATCAGAGGAAGCCAGGATCCGCCATATTTTGTAGAAATATTCCATTGAAGCAGTTATCCTATTCAATCAGGATTTATCCTCTTACAATTCACAACAGTTCTATCCCTATATCTCCATTCTTCAACCTCTCTAATAATATATTTCTGGTATTACCATATACATACATATCATTATATTTGGGGAACATATAATATATTTTCTATGATTATTCGAATATTGTTATTAATATTCATCTGATACCAACAATATGATATTGCAATACCAATGCATCCCACGTGGTGGATTAAAGCATATTCAAGGATGAGCTCATACTAAAATATGAGCTACCGACCGTTTCATTTAACAGGACTTATAGCTAGTAACCGTTTTAAATTCTAGATAAATCTCATCTGAACACACAATTTCGTTCAGTCGGTCGAAAGCTGTTTCTTTCTATACGAACATTTAAATTAAAAATGCTAAATTTGACGGTTCATTCAAAGGAAGAACTGACTGCTGACATTTTGATATGATGTCAAGAATATGTCAGTAAAAGAGATAACTGACGACGTCAAAGTGATCAAAGTAGGCCAGCGGGATGGTAGTTGGAGGAAGAAAATATTAAATAGTTGGTTTCTCTTCGTTTTGTTTTTTTAAATGTTTTTTGGTATGCTGAATCTGAACTTGATATTCCCGAATGAATTTACTTTCGAATTCTGAGATATATGGGAATAACAGTGAAATTTCCGAACATTTTTTATCGATGTTATTACTATACACAGAGTTAAAGAAGGTAAAATTGTTTGTTCAGATGAGGTTTATCTATAATTTAAAATGGTTACCAACTGCAAGTCCTTCCGTTAAATGAAATGGTGGGTAGCTCCCTGGCCTATACACTAACATACTAATCATTGTAGCAATGGATGGACGTGAGTTATCAACTTATCACTAATTGATGGATGGGCTATCCCAGGCATATTCCAGTCCTAGATTGCTAGGTTCTGCTACAATTGATATTCAACAACTGCATATTTTTTCCCATAAACATTTAGAGATGGGTTGATATTTTTCAATAAAAAAAATATTTTTGTGCAGGATGACGGTCAAGATTAATATCAAATAACTATTAAGATGAAATCGTAAAAAATACGATTAAATGTCGATATTTCGGCCCACATTGCAGGACCTTCAATTAATTTACAGAACGTAATTATTTGGTGTCATAAAAAAAAAAAATCCTGCAAACCTCTTAAATATTTTTAATTTAAAATCATTGTGTTATTGTAAATAATATTTGATATAAATTTTCATTGTGGTATAATGAAAAAAAAGTTTAATTATTCTAAATTAAATTACATTTTACAAAATTGAATTTTAATTGTAACCATCCGTTTAACACGATATCCCAACCCATAAACCTATTTATTCCTTCTCATAGGACTCTTTAAAAATATTTGGTCATGCGTTCTACTTTGTTTTGGAATTCCTTACTTACCTTCATACGCAAACTCTCTTCCTTAATCTCAGCAATCAATCTTCCGAACATATAGGAATATAATTTTCATATTTAACACCTGTCACCTACATTTTACCTTTATTATATCTTACAGATACTTATACAGGGTGTCTCCGTTCTTAATGGCGAAACTCTGGGGGTGATTATAGACATTTTAACATTTTTTTAAAATTAACATTTTTTTTTGTTGAGAAAACAGTGATTAAATTTAGTAAGGTCAATGATAAAAGAGACTTTTAGGAAATCTGATATGAGCGCTGCATAGCGGGACGAGTAAGGGAAAACTCACGACTAATTTTTTTTTTTTTAGAACTCCAAAGACTAGATTAACTGTTTTATTGATACCTTATAGAGTTCCCCAGAATAGTTTTATTTGGCAAAATATATATTTTCACTATTGTTATTGAATAGTTACGTTTTTTTAATTTATTTATGATATTTAAAACTGTATTAATAGATAAAATACATTTAGTAAATTCGATAACAGAAAATAATAACATGAAATCACTTGTTGAGAAACTACCCACTGGTAGCACTCCAATTATATTTCTATATTAGAAGGTCCCGAGGCCATATTCTTTTCAGACGCCTCGGAGGGTTATCAGGAATTGAAGAGAAAGCAAGGTTAGAAACGAGAGGGTTGGGATGATTCTGAAGTTTACTATGGAATGATAGATATCTGGATTGGGCCAGATCTGGAACATAAGAAACATTAAGGTCATTGTGGATGGTTTTATTTGTAACAAAGTAGGGAGCATTGAGGATTTTAGGAAGGATTTTGGATTGTAGGAATTGGATACGAGAGGAATTCGATGGTTTAGTGGAGCCCCATAGCTTAACTCCGTAAGTCCAAATAGGCCTTATTACAGTCATGTATATGAGTCTTTTGTGATTAATTGAAAGTTTAGAGCGTTTGTCTAGTAAGTGCGAAAGTAATCGGAAACTTCGAGCGGTTTCTTGTCGTTTCAGTCTGGTGTAGTTCTATTAAAAAAAAAAAAAAAAAAAAAAAAAAGATCAAGCCAATGTAATTTTCCCTTGCTCGTTCCACTGTGGGCTGTACTGCTGCAGTTACAGTACTCATATCCTAGCAGCATATCTCGTTATTTCCGATTCGTGGAATAATTCGGCATAATGGTAGGCTTTGCTTTATTAGACCTTCCTACAGTCCCTATTATCAATGACTTGAGTACATTTAATCACTATTTTCTCATTTAACATTGTGTCTACTTTGCGATGGTGTACTTAGAATTTAATTATCTTCAAAAGTTTTAGAGCAATTCTTTTTTATTCAATAAAAACCGTGATTAGCTTAAGAAAAACACAAAATTAGAAATTTTTTAATTCAATAAATTAATTACATTAAGCACACCATTATAAATCAGACAATTTTTTTTGTTGAGAAAACAGTGATTAAGTTTTCTTAGGCCAATGATAAAAAGGACTTGACTGCAGCAGTATGGCGACCGAATGAGACTTCCTGAAAGTCCCTTTTACTATCGACCTCACTGAATTTAATAACTGTTTTATCAAAAAAATGTTTTCTACTTTATGATGGTGTAATTAAAATTTAATTACCTTGAACAGTTTTTGTGCAATTCCTTCTTATTCAGTAAAAACTATGACTACTTTAAGTCCTTACAAAACGGCAAATTCTAATTTTGCTCTGTGGCTGTAGATATTTATTTATATAAGTACCTTCAAAAAATGTCTTTAGTGTTTGATAAAGTTGTAATTGTTTTTTACCTATGTTAAATAATTTGTTATTACGATTAGTATTCAATACCGACAAATTCTTTTCCCCTAATCCATTGAAGTGATACGTCCCAACTTTGCAGATGAGCATGACCACAGAATTAACATAAGGGGAAAACTAAATTTACGTTGTAGCTCAATTGACCATCTAACTCTATTAGGTATTCTATAGAATAAAAGCGATCCAAACGATAACTTTTAGTGTAACGTTTTTGAAACAATGCTTTGATTCGATCGTAAGCTATTTTTGGCAATTTATTGGCCTCCGCAATAATTATCCATTACAAAACTTGGCAAACCCCATTTGGCAGATACACTCAATGACGTCTTACTCAGCGAAAATTTTCGATGATAGGGTATACCTAAATTAATCCTTCCTCATTTAAATTTTAAAATTAATTCAGTTCGTGAAAATGAATGGAGCTATATATATATTTTTTTTTTTTGTAAATTTAAATAATGATATAAAACTGTATTTATTTTGAATATATGAAATTATCAGATAACGTAAGCATATTCTCTAAATAAATAAATAAATATTTAAATAATGGGTTCCTTCCTTACCTGGAATTCTAATTTGTAAAGTACCGGGAACTTCCTTCTCTGCTCGCAGTGTTTAACGAAATTCTTCAACTCAATGGGATGGTCTGGAATAGTGGATAAAAGTCCATTGTTCTCACCCCCTGTTAAAAAACAAAACTAATTAATGAAGTTGTAAAAAAAGAAGTTTGTAATAGGATTTTTTTACGGATAAAGGTGGACATGAAATAATTAAATAAAAATATTAAGAACGGTGTGTAATAATGAATTTCATATGCTGTCAAAATTATAGTTAGTCCGTAATATTTTACAGATGGTATAATATTTTATACCATATGTTAGTTTACCAACGGATAATTTCTAAACAAATAAATAAATAATTCGGAAAACGGGACTTTGGTTCGATAGCAGGGGAAGAAATCCACTTTAAACAGGTATTTTTTTGGAAAAGCTAGGTAGTGAAAGGAATCACCTATAAAATATGGCGAAAACCATTGTTTTAGACTCATTGGGAATCCTGCATCTCCACCAATATTGAATTCTGAAGACAGAAAGTAAGAGGAAGAAAAAAGATTGTGAAGAAGAAAAAAAAAACATAACATTCGGTACTTAAGATGATACTCACGTTGAATTTTTTTTTTGTTTTCTTAAATATAAGATTGATCAGTATGATGTGTCATTAAATTTAAATTATCTCTTTTTTTTAAATCAATATTCATGTATTTTTTTTAGATAAAAGTAAACACTGACTATTTTTTATTTATTTAAACTATTACCGAATCGTTATGGTAATATTGACTGTTTAAAAAACCTTATAAACCATGGTTACTTGTTCTAGGTGTCTTTCCATCATGTGTTTGATATAAAATAAAATAGAAAATAATTTTATTCTGGTACGAAGTCCCTTTAGAATAATAAAAAAGTACAAAATTAAAACATTATATCTGGCCTAAGTAAAAACAAACATAAAATGTAGAAATAAAGAGAAATAAGTTAAGAAAACATTAGTTAAACATACTATATACAAAATAAAAAAAATATATATATAAATACAAAACACTTGAAACCATGACAATACATTTAAGACTATGTACAGTGGTAAAACATAAATATACACTTTTAGAAGAAAAATATTAAATGTAAATAAATCATCACGTAAATCATTATGAATAATATGTAATTTTACATAAAAGGTTAGCTAGTATCTGACTGTTTTTGGGACAGAAATTGGAATAGGAGGATTTTAATTGTAGATTGGGAAGGGGAATGCCGAATTTCGATAGGATGGGAATTCCACAAATTAACAGAGCGAGCAATAAAGGAGTTTCGGAATGAGGCAGATCTGTGAGAATGAATTTAAAGGTCGGAAGGTCAAGATCTTGTGGAAAGGGAATGCACTGAGGACTTGAATTGGAGAAGGTTGTAGGCGTAAGAAGGACGATGATTATTGATGATTTGATGGAGGAACGTACCAAAGAAATATTGTATTCGAATGGAGGGAAAGAGCCACTTTAACTCAGTTTAGTATATATATAATCATCGTCCTTCTTACGCCTACAACCTTCTCCAATTCAAGTCCTCAGTGCATTCCCTTTCCACAAGATCTTGACCTTCCGACCTTTACATTCGTTCTCACAGATCTGCCTCATTCAGAAACTCCTTTACTGCTCGCTCTGTTAATTTCTGAAATTTCCTTCCTATCAAAATTCGGAATTCCCCCTCCCTATCTACATTTAAAATCCTCCTATTCCAATTTCTGTCCCAAAAACAGTCAGTATATATATATATATATATATATATATATATATATATATATATATATATATATATATCTGATATAATATGAAATCTAGTTAATATTCATGTAAATCTTCAGTAACAAAGTAATATTCCTATTAGTTTTTGCAGTTTAACGTTTCATGAACTCAACATTTCTTAAATTAAAGTATATCTTTATAGAAAAGGGAACTATTCCTGTAATTAATTAATAATTCTATTCAACTATCGAGGCTGAGCTAAGGTTTTCGCATAACCCCAAATGAACCAAAATAAAAAACATTCGTTATTGAATACTTTTTATGAAGTATAAATTTATATGGTATTTTGAGCTCTGGTTTTTATATTGTTATTTATCCCGTGATATTTAATAATTTTTTTCTTTTTATGGTGTAGAAAAGGTTTTGAACGGAGGGGCATTGAATAGGGCGATAAATCTACTTCTATCCGAAGTATTAGCAGACAGTAAATCCTTGTCTTTCACAGCTCCCCCCTACCACTCCCTCTTCTCCCTCCCTCCCGCCGCCTCAGGGTATGAGCTATATGGCCGCAGATTTAATGCCATCCCCTACAAAATGGATTATTTATTTTCTTCAGCTGTTCCGCATTTATCGATATACATGAACAATTATTATAAAAATTATACCATCTCTAGATACGTTTATTAGTTTTTATGTCTTTGTCGATAATCATAGAAGAAGGAAGAAAACTCTTTAAATAAAAATCCTTACAAACATTTGATAAATTTAATTATGTATTAATATTTTTGAACAAGAAAATGAAAACAACGATTTCTCTAAAACTATTAAGATGAAAAGAATAACGCCATAATTTATCTAAATTTTTCAAACTTGCAATTGTAAATGTAAACCGTGACTTGAATTATGACGTAATAAAGAGAGAATTGAAGTTGGGCAAAGTGAATGAAGCACATGAATCACTTATATCACGCGAAAATAAAT